GCTGAGCAACCTTGAGCGCCCTCATATGGCCAGCAGTGAAGTACCGCGTCTTAGATCCGTAAGTCATCACTGGCAACACGTACTGGTTGTACAATCTAGTTTTCAGAGTTTGAGGTATACCTGACGATAAGATTTGTCGTAATTTCCCGAACGATGCCCACCCGAGTTGAATCCGTCGATTGACCTGGTCCCGGTCAAAGTTGTACGTATTGGTCCCGGTCGAAGTTGTACTTACCTGGTCGGACTATTTGTCCCAGGTGAACGTACTCGTCAACAACTTCGAGCATAGTGCTCCCAACAACTATCGGCATCTTTGTTTCATCCATGTTCATCTTAAGACCTATCCGTTGGGAGACACTATTGAGGTCATTGAGCATAGTCATTGACTACATCGTCGGCAAATCGAAGAAGAGTGATGTACTCGCCATTGATGTTAATACTGCATCCTTTCCAGTCCAGTAGCTTGAAAACGTCATCCAATGCAGCGGCAAAGAGTTTCGGGGATATAACGTCTCACTGACTTACACCTCTCTGCAGTTGGATAGGTTTCAAACTCTGGTGCAGTACTCAGATAGCCATCGTAGCTCTACTGTAAAAACACTTCAGCACTTCGATATACCAACAGTGAACTTGGCACTTCTGAAGGGTCTGTAAAAGTAAAGTAAAGTTACAGCCTATATACGTCCCACTGTTGAGCACTGGCCTCTTCTCATTTCTGAGAGGGTTTTAGGGCAAGGAAGTGTCCACCGTGCTGCACCAATACGTGTTGGCAAACTTCACATATCTTCGAAATATTTTTTTTTCTTATTCCTCAGACATGCAGGTTTCCTCACGATGTTTTCCTTCACCGCCGAGCACGTCGTAAATCAGCACTTAAAACTGAAATTAACAATTTCATTGGTGCCGGCGGGGATTGAACCCGGGTTACTCGGGTTCTGTTATATTGTTATACAGCGAGCGTTAACCATCTGAGCTACCACGGAAGGGACTGTAGCACCGCCCAAATTTCGACGAAATCATAGGCTTTTTTATAGTCCACATACGACAGGCAAAGTGGTAGATTGTACTCTTCGGTCTTCTGTACAATGTGTCGCAGCGTATGTATGTGGTCTATGGTACTGAATCCTTTTCGGAAACCGGCTTGTTCGGGAGGCTGGAAGTCGTCGAGTCTACGAGCGAGACGATTCGTAATTACTCTCGAAAACAGCACGTAGACGCGGCTCAGACGGGAAATCGGTCCGTAGTTCTTCAAGAGAGCGTTTTCGTCTTTCTTGAAGAACAAGACCACCGCACTTCTGCTCCATGCCTCCGGAGTAGTGCTACCATGAAGGATGGAATTGAAGAGCCTCTGAAGGACTTTAAGTAACGGTGTCAGTAAAGTAAGTAATTCCATCCTCGCCTGGAGCCCTGCCGTTTTTAAGGCGCTGGAGAGGCATTCTAATCTCGCTCAGACTGACGTCCGGGATATCATCAGAATAGTGTCGGATAAAACTTGCTCCTGGATCGTTACTCACACTTGCGTGTGACTCCAACGGTGATGTGTACAGCTGCCCATAAAATCTCTTAATCTCCCTCAAAATCTCAGGTGTCCCGGAGACGATGCTGCGTCACTCAGTCTTCAGCTTTGACAGTTGGCTCTTTCTAACATACAGATATCTGGCAAAGACTTTAGAGCCCTAGTTTCACTCGATTGTTTCTTCAATACAAGCAGTATTAAAGTTGCGTAAGTCCAGCCGCATGCATTTGGAGATCTGTCTGTTCAGTTGCCTTTATGCTGTCAATTGTGTTAACGATTGCAGTCTCATCTACCGTCGAACAACCATGAGATTAAGAGTGTGATCAGAGAGTTTTTGTGTTCTTCTGCGACGGGTCTTGCAGAACTTAGCTCCGACCCCATGAACAGCTACCACGAGCTTGTTATTCATATGGCATTGAAAACAGTTTTGTAACTCGAGCTGAACGGTTTCGGGATTTTGGACTAGAGCACGAGGGGGACGGAGCGTTGACTTCATTAGACGAGATATCTCCAACTTAACGTTTAGGTTCAGTGCACCTCTAACCACTCGGAGATCGCTGTCAGTTTTTATCCTTGCGATCACTGAGACATTACTGAACAGTTGGCGTCTAGTCTTCATAATGAAGTCAATCTCATTTTTTGTCGAACCGTCGGGCCTCGACCAGGTCCACTTCCTGTGGGGCCGCTTCTGGAAGAAAGAGTTCATCATAAAGAGTCCCTCTTTATCCATAAAGTCGGCCAGCTGCTGTCCCCTACGGTTCCGTTGCCCTACTCCAAATTTCCCTTCCTTCAGCTCATCGTTCTTTCTTGTGCCCAGTTTTCCGTCGAAGTCTCCCATTAATACCGTATAGTGAGTTTTGGAGGAATGCATGGCTCTAGAAATATCCTCATACATTTCCTCCACCACCTCATCGGGATGTTCCGACGTTGGCGCGTAAACATATATGACCTTCAGCGAATACCGTTTGGTGATTCTGACCCTCGTCGATACACTCCCAATCTTTAAAACATTGTTAACGAGAGACTTGTGGACGATAAATCCAACACCTCCTTGGGACAGATGGTCGCCCTCCCGGTGATAAAACAAGTTGCCGGATTCGAGAATCACCGTGTCCTCCCCCTCTCTTCGGACCTCGGATAATCCAATAATATGCCAGCGCAACTTGTCTATCTCTTCTTCCAGCTCCAGAATCTTCTCGTCAGTCCTCAGGGTGCGTGCGTTATATGTTGCCAGGTTGAATCGTCGTAGGTGGCAACTGAACCTCCACCGGAGATTCTTAGCACCCCCTGCCCCGCCATTACCGTAGTCGCTACCGTAGCCAGGAATAGCGGAGCTACCGGGGACTGGGGACCGTTTCTTCATAACTAACATGGGGGGGGGTGTATAATGCCATAGTTGCCACACTTGGCGCGCGGGTTGGCAACCGCAGTTTTTTGTTCTTTTTTTGTACAGTTGCTGCTATCAGGAAGATGCTGCTGTCCATCTCCTTTTTCTCCTCTGCTTGTTTCCCTCCCTCTATCGCATTTTACGACACCCACGGGAAGATGTGGGGTAGTGAACATTCTTCAACGCTACTACACATCAAGAATTTTGATTGCTTTTCTTTGCTTAGTGTGATTTTTAGTGAGATTTCGAATATTAGCTTAAATTACTTAAATTATACATGTTTGGTTATTGGTTAGATGATAATCATGATGATGAAATGCTGTCTGGTTTAAGCCACGTCTCGTTAATTATGTCTTAAATGTAAATAAAAAAGAAAAAATCTTAAAACTGCGTATTCAAAATTGAAATTTTAATATAGACAAAGACTTGGAAGGGAGAGCCTAATTGGCCTCTAAAAGTTTGGCGTGGTTTATAGAGCGGGACTTTATTTTATGCCAGCATACCGCTTGCAAATTTACAAGGCGCAAGTTCAGCCTCACATGGAATACTATTCTCATCTCAGGATCGGTATAACTCAGTGCTAGGTCCTTCCACTTGATCGCATCCAGCGCAGAGCGGTTCGAATCGTCACGACCGAAGTCTTTCGGATCGCTTGAATCACTGGCGCTAGGAATGGATATTGCATCTGTATACGTTTTTATCGCACCTACCACGGGAAGTGCTGTGAAAATTATTTAGACTAATTCCAGGCGCTCAATTTCACCATCGCATACCACGACAAAACTCGCAATACCATCCATATTATCTGAATGATAGGCGGAAAGAGCCTACTCAATTTTCTTTCTTGTTGGCGCCGGAAGTCATTTACCCTCTGGTGAGTCGTATGCTCGTTTGTCCTCTCTTACATATAAAAAAAGACATTAAGGTGCTAGTACTGACCTCTTGTAAATAGTGTCGATGTTTCAGTTGATATTTTTTCCTGCAAGTACATCCTTCCAAAACGTGGAATTTTCCGGTTATGTTCACCATTTTTACAAGTTTATTAAAAAAGTACACCGGCTGAATTCTTTCTCCTATTAAGTCTATGTCATCACTAACCGGTGTGCACAATCTTCGGCTTTTTGATCTCATTGAGTAAACAAAACCTAACGGACAGCATTTGCTTATACACTTGTTGGGACACAGTCCTTCTTCTCGATGCTTTATTTTATTCAACGTTATATTCTGACAAATGATCGATTGAAACAAATTTAAGAGGACGTAGATGAATAAAACCAAATCTTTGACAGTCATATTTAAACTATTTTATAAAAAAAATTATGTTAAAATTTGCAAATAGAAGTGAGATTAAACGCAAACTACGTTTAAAAATGCACTGTATTAGAAAGGGGAGGAATTCTTTTTAAAGAAAACCATTGAAAACGTTCAATAAGAAACAACAGTTACAGTCCATAGAGTTAAACTAACATATAATGCAAAGATTATTGCACTTTATAGTCCTTTTAATTATGGTATAAAGTTCATTAGCGTAATGAAATTTGAATATTATAGCCATAAGGGTATGGAATGTGTTTGACGCTCAGGGAATTAGAAAAACAATAGCCCATCAATTACAAGTTTTAATACTGTTAAAATTCAACAATGAAAAACATACAATAAAGACACTATTTACATAATGAAATAAACATTAACTAACGAAATATAGATAAAGAAAGAGGAAAAATTACAACCTAGGTAAATGCAGTTTTAAGTACACGTTATTCTGTAACAAAACAACGAGAAAATATGAATACATTATTATTGCCGATTCTTTAAAATTGACAAAATGTATATTAAGCATATTTAATATCAGTTGGTATCAGTATAGAAGCGATATTAGATAAGATAGGTTAAAAATTTACAAAATTTTGCTTAAAATATTATATTTTGTGCAAACACTACTTAAAAGTGTTTTTGCCGAAATGCACGAATGGCATGTTCAAATTGTTATAAAAACCTGATTTATTCATACTTACTAACATTAAGGAGATCTACATATTTTTCTTTGTATTGTATCATACAAACACACATATTATATGCATGTTAAAGTTTTAAAATCTAAATTTCTACAGCATCTGGGAATACATAATCTAGATACGCTTGATGACCGTAACTCTGAATTGGTTTAGGTCTCTCTCTCTTAAAATGTATTGATTGAGCGCAATCTTTGCTATTTTTGTCGAATTTTGACGCAATCTCTCTCACTTTTCCGGGCCTCGGTCTACAGTCTTCCACTATGTCTTCTTTACTGCGATTAAATACTTGCTTTTCACTAACACTTTCTATTTTGTTCTTTTGTAACGTTTCTGTTAGCGTTTGCTTATCTGTACTTTTATCAATATGATTCGGTGTTCTTTTTGAATATGGTTTAGCGAAATCCCTTTCAACAAACACGTCTTTTACTGTTTCTGTTTTTTTTCTTTCTCCCGCAGATTTCATCCTATTTACATTATTTCTACTTGAACGAGCATAAGCGTTAGCTGTATCTTTGCTTTCTGTGGCTCTTATCATTCCAAATAAAGGATCTTTGGAATATTCTATATCAATATTACTCCTGCAAACGTAATTTTTTTTGTTATTACTACTTTTACTTCTATGACTCCTATCTGATTTTCTGTGGCCAGGTTTAAATGTGGATAGTTTGTTATTATTGTTATTAAAGTCGTTTGCAAAGTAACATGGATCGGAAGCGTGAGTTCTTTGGTGAGTTAAGGGCTTGGAAAGTGATAAATACTTCGGCGGCTCCCCGTGTTTATTTATAGTAATATCGTATTGTATATGCGGATTCAACACCGCGTACACGTTTTCTTTGGCTTGTCTTTCCAACGACGCTAAAGTTGCCTAAAAAAGAAAAAAAAATGATTATACTACTTAAAGACTTCAAAAGAAATGGAAAGCGAAAACGTGTGGTGCTGATACTTGCAAAAGTTAATTTCCATGTTAATCTCCTAAATTGCTAAGGTTTATGTGTAACGTGCACTCTCAATAATTAAACGTCGTTTCATTGTGAAACATGTGGACATGCGGTGTGACAAGCGAATGTTAAATTTTTTAGAGCAAGAAAATTGCAAGTAAATTTTATTATAAGAACACTTTGCCTATATAAACAAGAATGAAACAAGATATAAATAAGGTTATACGTTTTTAAATTGTTTAAATCTTACTTTGAATTATAAGTTATTGCATTATTGAAATAATAGTCGCTAATATTAGATATATCATTTGATTTAGGCATTTTATATTTTTAATTATTTATCTATGAGCTATGAGTTCTAGTAATAAAGTATCTTGTTTATTTTCAACAAAATATTGAGATAAGGTTAATTCATGTTAGGGCTCCATAAATATGTTATTTCGTCGGTGTTGAATGAATGAATGATACTATACACATTTGCGGGTCGGAATCAATCAGCAAAGCCAACGATAAGAATCAAATAATGTTTTGCTAGATATTTGTAAAAAGATTGATTGGCTTGGCCGCATATAACTGGGTCAAAAATAATAATGTACTGTACAAGTATTATTGGAATCAATTCCTCGCTAAGGTAGGTCAGATTTTGGATCGACCGAATATACCGACCTGCATACGGGTATAGTTCGCCTATAGTCTATTTATTACTGTATTACAAGATAAATTCATTTCATAAAAGTTATCGATTTGCATATCTACTGTAAAATTTGATACGTTAATAGTTATATTATAACTAACAAGGTCCATAATAACTTCATATCGTTAAATAGGTGTCGTCAGAGGTGACAATATAAGGACTTAGCATGATACCACGACCTTTATACCACGACAGTTAAATACCCAATCTGACGACAAAGCAGAATTAAAAATTTGAGATATCTGATACTGCGATTGCTAATCTGCGTACCAAACGTGGTATTTGGACCAAACTTTGAATATCAGGAGAGGCTCGTAATGATCTGCTATGGATTGATTGAGAAGAAGTAGATTCCCCCGAACATATTCTGGGGTCAAGCTTTTTCACTTTCAGATAGGGCTCTTTCGTTGTTGGAAGGATTTGATCAAAGCTTCGAGTTCGGCAGGCGGATTGACTTGCAACCTTTTACGATTCTATCTGTCGTCGGTCTTGGTGTTTTTCGTCTGGCGAAATAGTTATACCGCCATCTATCGAAAGTCATAATGTTTTTTGGCATATCTCATAGTCGCCCTCTTACGACACCCACAGCACGAAATGAGGTGACGAATTCTGTTAATGATCTAAGGCAATAAATTATGGAAATTTCAATTTAATTTCAGCATCATTCAGCAGTTAAGCTGACGATTAATCGTAGAGTTTATTTCGCCATGACAAGCGGGCAGAAAGCGCGAAAATTATTGCGCCAACAAAAATGCTAAAGAGAAACTGCGTCAAGTCATGCAATAATAAATAGACTACATGTGGTTTGGTTAGTACGTGTCCACACCTGTGCGCTCATCACACGGTGGTGGGGGGCTGCAGCACGACGGCGGCGCGGCGCACCTGCAGCGCGCCCGGCGAGTACCGCGAGCTCTCCACGTCCATGCCCGGCCCCGACTGTGAGTACCCGGTCCCAGTGCTCCTGTTGCCCAAACTCGCGTGGGACTGCTGCGGCGTGTACACGGCGTCCGCCGGTAGGACTTTTACGTCGCTGTTGATTGGTTTTGTTTAGTTTTTTGCCCTGAGTATGGCATCCTTGTGTTGTTACTGGACGGAAGGAGTCGTTTTCTGACAGAACACGTCAGGGTTGTTACCACCTACTCATTTATTTCAGCAAAGCAGCAGTGCACTGCTGTGTTCCCCTTTGAAGGCTATGAAGCCGGTATAACTGCAGGCTGGGGCAATACATTTTAATCTTTAGGAATTACAAATGTATTCCTACAGTTATGTTGTGGTTTGTTTATGGTTGCAAGTGTCCATTCAACAGACATTTACCGTCACGTGGCCTGTGTGCATGTTTGCTCACTCTAATAATCACAAACGTCATGGTTCATTTCGATTACATTTATTTTCATTACTAGTAGGTGACTTTGTTTGCGTGTACAGCCATGTTTCTTTAATGTGCCTCATGCAATTAAAATGCACTGATAGTGTTATGTTATAATTGTGGACGACCTTGACGACCTTTGTGTATTGTATATATATGTCATACTCATGCATCAAATGGTATATTTTATTAGGTATTCATTAACTCATAAATTTTAATTTATTTCAGCCTATCAGAAGAGATATTTGCCATATTTGCCACGCTTGGCAAGGAAGTTTGCAAGCACATTTAAATATTATTTAATACCTTAGGACGACTGCTACCCATCTCTGATTTGTTCCTTATTATATATATATATATATATATATATATATATATATATATATATATATATATATATATATATATATATATATATACTAGCTTGCCAGGCAGACGTTGTCCTGCCTTTTTCGACGACCCTTTGACACATCCTACTAAAAATCCTTAAAATCGGAAAAAACATTGTGGGTCATCATGGGCAAAAAAATATCCTATCTCTCAAGTTGGAGCAAAATGCAGACGATGTGCAAATTTGATCAAAATCGGTAAAGTAGTTTAGGAGTCCATAGAGGACAAACAACGTGACACGTAATAATATATATATATATATATATATATATATATATATATATATATATATATATATATATAGAATTAATATAAAAAGTAATGGTCCCAGCAGTAGTTTATAACTAAACTAAACTAAATTTCTATTTCGATAAAGAAAATAAACAAAACTAGACTCATTATTAGTATGGTAGCTGCGTAAAATCTACCCCCCCCCCCCTCTAGTTCGCACCATGAGGCAAATCAGCTTGCTTAGTATAGTGGATAAACTGTATGCTAAGGTGTTAATTGAAAGAGTTATGAAAGAAACTGATGGAAAAATTTGGGATGTGCAAGGGGGATTTAGAAAGAGAATGGGGTGTACAGAGGTACACAGGCTAAAAACCAAAAAGTTTTTTTTGTGCGTTCATGGACTTGGAAAAGGCTTATGACAGACTGGACAGGACTGTGTTATGGCTAACACAGAACTCATTTGGGTTGAGCGCTGGTTTGATACAGTCATTAAGGTCTCTTTATAGGGACTCTAGTGCTTGTATCAAGATCAACAGAGTCTACTCTGACTGGCCAAAAAGGTGTCAGACAGGGCTGTGTAGCTTCCCCGTGGCTGTTCAGCCTATTTATGGACAGCTGTTTGCAAACTATAAAAGATGAAGAATGTGGGTTAAGAATGGGCGAGTTAACAGTCAAATGCCTTTTGTACGCCAGTGATCAAGTCATATTTTTGCGTCGTCAGCGGCTGAGTTGCAAATGATGGTTACATTAATGAACTGGGCATTAAAAGAAAGGGGAATGAAAGTGAACGCAAGTAAGACGAAAGTGATGGTTTTTGAAAGAGAAGAAAGTAAAATGTTAAGTGAAATAAGAATTCGTGTATTTGGTATGTGAATTTAGCCCTTCAATCGCTATAAAAATCAGTCGCATGCGTCCGTCAAATCCCGAGCGGTCGCTTGCGACCGCACCCACTCACAGTTCTTAAACCATTAAAACTTATATTTAGAGACAACTTTTCTATGAAGAAGATGGTTATTATAAAATATATACAAAATTCTCTATCCCGTGGTCTAAAAAGTCAGGTTTTACTTCATTTAAAAAAGACTATTGTATTTTGATAACAAAAAACGGGTCAATACCAAGCGGATGTCGGCAGCGTGAAAATCACTATTATATTTCTATATATTACTCGATATTATTTACTTAAAAATAAAAATTATATTCACACAAAAACTTTTATAACAATTTTATAATATAACACTAATAAAAAAGACTAGAAAAATCCAAAAATCAACACAACAACATCGAAATGAAAATGGCGTACGTAATGAACGTAGATTATAAATATATGTCCATAGACTAACTAACTTTTTATTGCACTAGAGGATATAAAATTTCATATTAATTCTATAATGCCAAACTTCTTCATAGAAATGTAGTCTCTAAATATAAGTTTTAATGGTTTAAATTGCTGTAGGTGTGCACTGTCAAATCCGACCGCTTAGGAGTATGACGGAATAGCGCCACGGTCGAATTCGACCGCTTAGGGGTTGAAAGGTTAGCAGGGATGGTAGATATGATAAGGATATAGAACGACGAGTGAATGCAGGAAACAGAGTGAATGGGGCTCTACACTCTATTATGAAGGATCAGAATGTGTCAAAAAAAGGCACGTGTGGTAATTCACAATGCAGTGTTAACCGCTACGGAATGATTTAGTGGTTTGGTAATGTAGAAAGATAGAATGAGGAAAGAGTGACAAAGCAAATTTATGTTGCAAAAGTGAACGGCAGAGTCGGGAAGGGACGCCCTAGACGAAAGTTTATCTACCAAATTGGCCATTTTAAAAATGGGCTACATTAGAAGGACCCTTAACCAACAAGCGTGTATGCGTAGATATATGGATGTAAAGGAGACGAAGGTAGGTATGTCAAGATCTTGCCAAATGGAAGTCCGTAGTCTCTGCCTACCCTACTGGGTGACAGGCATGAGTGTTTACATATATATAAATATAAAACGTTCTTACCTATTTAATTCATCAGTCTTATATTCGACGCTATCTGAAATGAAAAAATAAAATGATTAATTTAAAATAATTTGAATATCAGTTGTTATGACAAAGATTTTGGATTTAACATTACAGCGTCAAGTCATATAAAAGAAACACATGATTTTGAACCTCCTACATCCACCGTCTCCTTGCTGACTTCTTATTGTACGTACGCACGCACGCTCGCGCGTACACTATACTAAGCGCGTAACACGCCCGCACAATAAAGGAGCGCGCTTGCGATCGCAAACACGCGTTTACTCTTGCATTAAGGCGCTTCGATTTGTCATGTTATTAAGCAATTATCGAAAATATATAATTATTTTTTCAATAAAATTAAAAAGCACTTTTTTATAGAAGTAAGCACTTCGCTTTAACACTTTTTTCTCGAATATGACTAAAATACGGCTTCTTTGTTACCCCTGAGGACTATGTGACACGTTACTAAGAACCCTACTTAGGTGGTATTTACTAAAAGGCGTCTCCGAATCTCGTCACTTACCATACAAGCAAATACTTGAACCCTGGAGCCTTAGTAGTTAATACGATGAAAAGTTGCTCTATTACGTATAAAAATGTGAGAGGACTCCTTTTATGCCCAGGAGTCCGTCTTGGTAGGTACCACTCTCCAACCAATTTCTGTCAAATCTGTTCAAGTGTGTTAATGTGTTCCAGTCTAAAGGGTGTTCTGTAGAGTGTCAGTATAATCACAGGTAGGTCTTCCATCTTAGTCCTGAATCCTGATACATGATAACGTATCAATAGCTTCCTTTGTTTGAAGTTAGCTGCAGGTGTCCATGGACTGCAGTGGCGACCTACCATCAGGTGGACTGTAAGTTCTTACTTTCTTTTACTTTATTCTATATAAAAAGGAATGTTTTGACAGATCTAAATAATATAAAACCACAAAAAATTGCATCTCACCTCTTCTCCTTCGACAGCGTATTAGAAGACAGAATAGAAGCACAAGCAGAGCAGCGATGACGAGCGCGCCGGCGATCAGCGGCGCCACGTGGGCAGTCTCTGTTAGCGAAAAATTCTCTGCGTGAAGAGATTTCACGACTTTCTATTAGAAATTTTAGTTTATATTCAATTAGTAAAACTAAAGTTAAGTGGTGTAAGAGTATTCCCTAGAGGGCATCGTAAGTGGCGACAGAAGGAAACTGAAGCAAGAGTTAGGCGGCAGTATTTTCCTGATAACAACTCAAAATAATAAAAAACTGCGTATGGCAAATATAATGAAGGATGAATGTTAAAAATTAAGGCATTTCCCCTAGCGAAATACCTTGAGCGTTCGGTCCTATACAATCCACGCGCTCTCGCTACGATGTATCGCGTAAAAATACGCCCAAATTTTTGAAATGATTTCAATTAAAAAAGAAAAACCAACTTAAAAAATTAAATAAAACATGAATAATATAGTTTTTTAAATTATCTATCCATTAGTGTAATCTTTAAATGATTAGAGCCTTGCCTTTAGCAACAGATGCATGTTATCAGTAATTTTAGTCATTTTTTAAAAGTAGATAAATGTATTTATAACACATAAAACAAATTAGAAAGTGGAATGTGATGATAGGATATCGAACATTAATTATGTGCTTTTAGATGTAGCTTATTTCTCGTAACTAATTAGATAATAGTCTCTAAAAAACGCACTTTTGCAAGGTTTTGGTCGGGGTACCGCCTTAACAAACGTGTAACTATTTGGCAAATACTTTGTGGATTTGCTTAGCGTTGCATACTTATTATTTTAAAAGTAAAATCTAATTAAAAAACCAATTTTTTCTGCTATACCTGATAATCATAGAGCCTTGATAAAATGCTTTCAAACGGAAATAAATTTCATTATATTATGTCACAATTTGAACAAGCTAAAATTATTATTGAACGGAATTTATTCACGCTGTGGAGAATAATTTATAAATTCATCATTTATCAAAGTATTGATAGATTTGCTAGACAAATCAGTAGTTTATGAAAAATAGCCTTAATAACTTACCATGCAAGGTGAGAGAGACAGCATGAGAAGAGAATCCCCTCTCATTCTCTACGTGCAGTACGTACACTCGAGCGTCGGCGGTCGAGGCGCTGCCTATAGACAGCGTGTAGCGATAACAGCCGTCCACACTCTCCGTCTCTAGTGCTCTGTACCGACCTGGGAAAAATAACCAAAGATGATATAATATATTGACATTTCTGAGAAGAGAATCTGGAAGACTGTAACAATATAATAATGACATCAAAATAAAAGTCTTACCCATATGCGAAGGCACGTCTAATCGCAAGCTGCCCCACAGCCATGAGGCCTTTCTTGGTGGCGGGTCAGCACAGACTGTGGTCTGTACTTTAGCTTCATTGCCGCTCCACCCATGAGCAGAGGCTGTATCAGGACCCACTGGCGGTCCTAGTACGTTCAGGGTGATTGGCTCTGACTGGTGGGATCTGATAAGATAAAAAGTGAAGTCATCTATTATTTTGGGTTGTTTTCATGTTACCTACTTTAAATATTCAGTTTCGGTTTGGGGCGAGAGATAAAAAGTAACAAGATGGTGAGTGTAAATGGTAGAACAAGCTCAAAAGAATAACAAATAACTATCAACCATAAGCAATCAATCAGGTAATTAGACAAATTCTGTATTTTTTACCAGACTGCCCTAGAAGGTGGGTAATATTTTTCGAATATATGTATGTATGCTTGTATGTAAGTATGTCTATTTGTAAACCTCTGTGGCCTAAACCACTTAATGGATTTTAACTTATGGTCATGGTATGAATGTCGTTAGATTCATCTAGGTTGTGAAACTGACATAGGTTATAAAATCAGGAAGACTACGGAATCAGGATATTGGTGTTTCACCCTCGTGCTGTAAAAGCTATGATCTTAGTTCGAGGTATTGCACCTGATCTCGGGTCTGCGGTCGGGTCCGCACACACTCGGGCACTATTAACCAGTCCTGTGGAGCTAGTCTCCGTTGAGACTAGCCGCTGTGACCAAAAGTTGGTAAAGAGGGTGTTATGATATGTTACTTTATAAAATCTAGTTATTAAGCTTTGAACATTATTATAAGAAAATATATAATTTGAAAATTAGTTAGAAGGTTTGAGCAGTATCACAAAATATACCTTTCTTCGAGTCCAATGAGGTTCTTAGCGATGCAAACATACTGTCCATGCTGATTGTAGGATACGTTGTATAGCTGCAGTTGTGGAGTTGACGATATTAAGTAGCCATCTTCCAATAAATTGTTGATGTTTGCTGAACCGGGACTAAAGAAAAGAATGTTAAACAGAAGTAATGTATTAAATTAAAGTAATATATAACAGTCTATGACAAGAGTAAAAAAGAGCTATGATAGCTCTAAGGGATTAGAGTCGTAAAATTTCATACTACGCTAGAATTTGTCGCCGTTGATACACATAAAATTATTAATTGCAATTTAAAGTGCTAATTTACCATATGCTCGCCCGTGAAGAAAAATCCCCAAGAAAACCTGCGTGTAATTATAAAAGACTGTTTAAAAATAAATATAATTCAAAATGGCGACCATTTTTATATCACTGTTCTGAGCTATAATTAAAATTTGAAGTCTCCAACTCATCGAGAAGTTAACTTAAAATTGAAAGTACCTGCCAAATGAAATATAACCGTAACTGATATAATGGTCGAAGAAGTAAAGAACACAAATTTTCTAGGAGCCGAAATAGATCAACATCTAAACTGGCACATATTGAAAAAATGAATTATAAAAATATCCACTACACGTTACACATTGTCCATCCTGACAGAGACTACAAAAGTGTCACTAGATATGCCTATTTTAGAAGCGTTTATCATACACCGGGAAAACTCAACAGATATACAATCCATATTCGTTCTCCAGAAAAGATGTCTTAAAACAATATACAGAATGTTTGGAAGATGTTTGCAAAACCTGGAGGGGATGGTACCTTAAACCATTTAAAACATTTTAAACTAAACTTGTCTTTCACAAAGTCTACTCACTTTTTAAATTAAATTTCTAATCTTTTTGACAATAAAACACCGCCGCATGAACAAAAAAAAACTTGACCTTTTAGGAATTTCAAGTAGCGCCCAGTGAATAGACTTTTATTCATCACTTATCACACATTTAACACTAACATTTATTATTTATCAGCTTATTAAATCACACAAAGTCGTTATTTATTCACACTAATTAGGATCAGTACTCGAGCAGTGACGAACCCACCCTGAGTTCGTCACATATTCGGATCCTCACTTAGTCAAGTAACGACTGCAGTTGTGACTAGACATTTTAACTGCGAATTCGTGTTTATTTCGGATGTTCTTTTTTATTGAGTTGAGCCTAGCTCTAGCTGTGTGTTCCTTCACTGTTCTTCGAATATTTGTGTGATCAATCAACTACAGCTGCTTTTACTAATAAAGAATAAGCTGATATCGTCTTTATATATGGCAGAGCTGACGGTAATGAATAACGCGGATATACCAAAAGTGATATCAGAGTCGAATATTACCAAATGTCTGTCTGTGAAAGAGTATTTCACAGCACATTTCGTTGGCTTTATGAAGTTAAAGTTGGTTCCTGGTTTCGCGCTACATCACGCAGACATACAAACATGGCCCAAGTATCGAGGAAGACATTACTGCAACTTTCGATGCAGATTCTACTACGAGCGTCACAGCAGTAGCTCAAAACGGAATACGATACACCGAGAAGACAAGTATCCTCTTACGGCACGGGTGTACAATGTTTGGAAAATGAAGATACCTCACGAAGGATTCTGTTCTGTCGCTTTTAGCTAATTAATGACATCGAAGGTACGAATGCTTTTTAAAATCCATCGTTTTCGAAAGAAGGAGTTGCCAACTTTCATGACCTCGATTGATGGGCTGGCAAGGATAGCAATCCACACTAGAAGAAGCAAGTGTCTTTTGAAATAGGGAATATGTCATTAAAAAAACCGTAATATTTTGAGAACATGTGAAGTACATCGCGCTGAAACGTGTACAAACACGCTTTCGGGCAGCGCGATGAACTCTTCCTTTCCTTAAAAATCCTCTTGGAAATGGAATGCCTGTGTCCAGCGGCGGGACGTATATATGGGATATTTTTTCACTTTATTTATAACATCCCACTGCTAAGCAAACTCCTCTACACATTATAAAAATGGTAATGGAGCGGTAAAACTTCACCGTACTGCTCATTTTCATCTTGACGAACGGACGAACTGTTGGTTTGGTTAACTTAATGCGTACAAAGTCCGTTACGATGTTTCTTCTCTGGTCAACCTCACTTTAAAACGAAAGCTTAAAAATTGTATGTATTTTATGTGTGGAATAAGTGGGTTGGTTACATCGCCACCTTTTGGAAGCTTCTGATCTTTCTAGAAATACTGGCACACCGGCACCACGTAGCAACAATTTACTTAACATATTAAAGTCGTTGACATTATTTCTTCCACTGAACTTCGTAAAGATATGAGATACTTACCTATGATACCACTGATATGTTGGAGCTGGGTTGCCTTCTGCTTTACACACAAGAGTGACTTGTGAGAAGAGGTTCGCTTCAACCACTGTGTCGGGACCAACCCAGGTAATACGTGGTGGAACTATATAAGAAAAAAAAATATAAGTGATGTATTTTATGCATCCTTAAATTCGCGAGAACACTACACATTAAAAAAAAACTATTTTGAGGGTACGTTTAATTTAACTTTTTTAATACCCCTGACGTTTCGTCACTCCGTGACTATGGACGTCGAAAACTGCCCGTAACGTTAGAAATTACAAAAGTTAAATTAAACGCGATAACATCCATAAAAATCAGTAAAAATAGTCTATTTGAGTTAAACGTAAAAAGGAAAACTGATGAATGCACCTACATTTAACGTTGATTTCTATTTTAACCGAATCGGATGTCCCCAAAGAGTTTCTTGCTTGACACCCGTAGATACCTGTGAAAAATGGTTAGATTTTAAAACTATAGAATGATAATAACGCTTCTTCCAAGTCAATTAAAAAGTTTTATTTGGATTATAATAATAATCATCGTGAGAGAACTTGCATGACTGAAAAATTAAATCTATATATTATTATGTCTAAATAATTTTCTAGTTTAAATAGCTCGCAATGTGTAAAATTCGACCGTTCTTCATTAAATACTTAAATTTTGATGTTATTCTGGTTATTTTATCAAAGAGTCTAAAATCACTGCGTATACGTTATTTTTAAAACACTTGGAAAACACTGATAAGGTGACAAGTATAATAATTAGACGAGAATTAAGTCAATTCAAATTTCTGCTACAATATTATTCTTTTGTAATGTGTTCAATTAATCAAGTTTTATTTAACTTTTACTGCAAATTAATATATAAAACACAGATGTCTCATATACAGAATGTCATTAATTAGTTGGTATCATTTTGAAATTCTTCGACGACGATCTCTTTTCTTTGCGACTGTTTGACCCCAGACTAGGTATATGTTTAATATTGTGAACGTGGACGTATAAACATATTATACAAACTACAGACTATTATGTGTTTTACATTAACAGTATGAACGAGAATAGTGAATGTTTTATTTTGTTTAATATATGTTATTTGTAAGACACATCATATTATATAAACTTTAGCTTTTATATATTATTTATAGTACGTAAACTCTAACTATGTGCTAAGCTCCACATAAACGCTCTTACGTATGTTTAAAAAGGGATACAAAAGGCAAATAAATATAATTGAAGTATCTGTTGTGATATCAAAATAACAGCTTTTTACTAAATTCATATTAATACTTTCTACTGTAATCATTTATGCTGTACTTGTAACAAAAACACAATTATTTTAAAATTTTGTCTGTCTGTCTGACTTTCACTGGCATATAGCCGATGTCATATGGAGTAACTTAGGCGACTTTTATAAAAAAAATTACAACCCTAAACTGCACCCTGTCAAAGTCGCGGGGAACAGCTAGTATTACATATATCTCGTAGGTAGATGAACGAAATACAAAGGCGTGTGGTGGCAGTGTAAGTGAATTCACACATTTTGTTCCGAGGGTGTCGTAGGCGGTGACGATATGAACTGACAAAAAAGTAATATTATGAATCTTTTTTACACTAGCCATAAAATACCAAGACTAGCGACAGGAAGAAGCTTCAAAAGTGCAAGACATCTGGTAGGTAATGCAATCGCCAATTCGCCTACCAAGCGTGGCGATTAAAGCAAATCCTTTCTATTACGCAATATCCAGCTGTTCCAGTGGACTTTTTAATTCAGTGTGAAATTCGGACGGATGGAGGTGGAAATCGTCTTAAGTTACCCGTTATGTCCTTTTTTGAACAAAAATTTAAAAAATTGAGGTGATGAAGAATCTAATTTTGTAACATGCTCTTCATATTATTGAAAAATTAAAGTCATCACTTAAAAAACGAGAACGTCAGAGTTCTTTCGCAGCAATTAAATTATAATTTTCCTTAACTATGATTGAATATAAAGTATCTTGAAATATTCATTCGATTAATATTAAATAATATTGTTGAATAATAAATATTAAAAATAAAGAAAAATCCAAAAAACTTTTCGGCGTCAGTCAATGTACGAGGCGATAACATTTGTTTGTTGGTGCCACGTAATAATATCTTTTATCGTTGCGCATAACATATAAAATAACTTTAATAAGTAAGTAAATACAAGAAGGTAATGATAGTAATATATTAATAAAGCTTCGTATAAAAGCAAACTATTCCAAAGAAATATTTATAATGATACATTTTAAAGAAGTAGGTATTTTTTAAATATAAGTAGGTATCTACTCTTTTTGTCATTTTTCTAAAACATCTGCTACTTACCCGAATTATTCCTCATAACCGGCGCAAGTATCAGCTTGGGACCGTTAGTAGCGATGACCTGACCGTCCTTCGTCCACCACACATAAGGTTTAGGATTGCCATCTGCTTTGCAATCTAATGACAAAGCGCTCGAACCCTCTTCTAGACTGGAGAGTCCACTTGCATCTGCTCCAAGTATTGAAACTACTGGTACAACTGTAAATAAAGATAATAGAAGAATTTACATTTAAAGACTTGCACAATGATGAAAGATTTATTTGATTTAAAAATTATTGTGTTTTCATTATTTTTTACGTGGCAGAGAGCCACGCTGCAGCCATATTATGGTGGCTCGATCGGGGAAGTTTCGCGCTCTCACAGAATATCAGCTCAATGCTACTTACTGTGTTTCGTATGGTGAGTGTAGAGAACCGGAGACCCTTTTTACTGGAAACGAGACATTCCATCTCAGTCCTCAGGGGTGATAACTACATTTGATTCCTAATTGGAAATAAATGTAAAAAAAGATAGATGTCTTTGGGCCACAGTATTAACTTACCATCAGGTGGACCATCAGGTGTACTACAACTCACCAAAGCTGCATCGTATTCGAATAGGAACGCGTAAAAGACGAGCAAAAAAATATTCACCTATATCGAATAACGCCATCCACAAACCTATAATTAAAACCTATATTATACATTTCAACGACCTACTCTTTCTCATTTAAATCCGTAAGAATTCAATAATAATTTCGATAGTTATTCTTTATACTAACATCTTGAATAAAAGTCATTATATTTATTTTTCTTGATGCCAGCCTGTATTAGGCTACGTACTTACTTAGTTCCTCGTTATTTTTTTATGTCATCAACCAACTTGGAGTCCACCTGATGGTAAGTGGCTACTTAAGTCAATGGAAACCCACAGACAAATTAAAACAGAGAAAGCAAAAGATACCTCATTTGTTTGTTTGTCACCTCTGAAGACTAAAACGAAATGCCTCACAACCTGTATTCATACTGGTTCTTTACACCCTTCAGACAGGAACACGTCAGCGCAATGCCCTGTTATTTGTCAGCAGAAATCGATAAGAGTGTGTCATCTGCCTAACAATACTACAATAGTATTCTAAGATTTCTAACGTTTCTTTACTTACAGGTCACATCTAACATTGTGTACGAGTCGCGGAAGTAAGGTGCTGGGTAGGAAGGATGGTGCGCTCGACACGCCAGCTGCTTGCCGTGTGCAGATCTAGTCGCGCCCATCTCGAGCACGGATCGCGCCGCCCATACTCGTGGTCTTTCTACTTCTGACGCGTTAGTTTGACTCCATGCGGAAAGGCGGTCCTTTTCTAAAATAATAACAAAATTGTCTATTTCCCCCATTTCTTTAGTTATTTAAATATTAACTTTTAGTACACTAATAAATAATAATACTATAATAAAAAAGCGATAATACTTCAACAAAAAAACGGTTAAGGACATGTTTTCAAGTAATAGATTGTCCAACTTCAGGATCTGAGTAAGAGCTATAACTTTTTTATAAGTTTTACATCATCATCATCATTATTACAGCCCTTCGCAAGTCCACTGCTGAACATAGGCCTTCCCCAAGTAATGCCACAAAGCACGGTCCTGAGCCACCTGCATCCATCGACTTCCTGCATAGGGGGGGTCGCCCTACACTACGCCTACCGGTACGAGGCTGCCACTCGAGAACCTTTCTTCCCCATCGGTTATCGGTTCTTCGAGCTATATGGCCGGCCCATTGCCACTTCATCTTACTAATCCATTGAGCTATGTCGGTCACTCTGGTTTTATTGCGGATATCCTCATTTCTGAGTCTATCACGCAGAGAAACTCCGAGCATAGCCCTCTCCATAGCCCGCTGAGCGACCTTGAGTGTCCTCATACGGCCAGCAGTGAAGGACCACGTCTCAGATCCGTAAGTTTAACATGAAAGCGTATAAACATAAATCACGGAATAAGGGACTTCAAAAAATTAAATACACATATTTTATAAGATTTAAGATATTCAAATGTTAGTTATATTTAAGGATTTGCTACAGGTACTTTCATCTTTCTGTAAAGAATTACTATGTAAATGAGATTATGAATAAAAACATATTTTAACGTCCATTACTGGGTTTTGATTTAGGACAGTCAAGTTCTATACCATGGTGTTTCAAACTTTTATTAACAACTTTTATTCTTATTGATATTCCGCACAATGATCTTAAAAACAAATTGTGCAATCATTGTGATTTATCCCAGATTGTAGACTTCAGAACATCAGTTTTGCACCGCCTTTTTAACCACAAAGTAACAGTTTAGTTAAAGTACACAATTTATTCTTCTACATAAAACACTCTCCGAGCAAAACTTCTGCAAGGAAGTAAATAAAAGGAGTTGAATTTGACATGGAACTCGGAAAATGATTAAACTTCACGACCTGCCGTAAATTTAAATCGTTTTCCCTCATTTGAATACATACTTTGAATTAAATAAGAAGAACGAAATTGAATTATGCTAAGAACAAAATGAGTGATGTAACTCACCTAAGTACCACTCAATATACGCGGGTGGGTTGCCATATCTAGCTTCACAGACGACGGTCGCTCTGGATCCAGCGGGAACAGTGATGTTCTGACCTGGCAATACGTGGGAACCGTTGAAGAGTATCCTAGGCGTCTGTGGTGGAACTCGCACAGCTAACGCCGCAGGAGGACTCGAAAGTGCGTCCTGAAATAAGAATTATACGAGGTAGAATCGTGCTGCAGTTATATTATTATGGTTGCAACAGAATTAGTCAGCTCGGGAAAGGATCACGCTGTCACAGAATACCATCATAGAAAATCAGCTTATTTCTCATGTGTTTATTGTGGTGAGTGTAGAGAACGGGAGACTCTTTCTTACTGGAACTGGAAACGAGGAATTACATCTCAGTCCTCAGAGATGACAACGCATCAGCATTTTTAATTCTTAATCACGAATGTAGATGATGTAGATGTAGATGTCTATGGACAACTGTATCCACTAACCTTCAGGTAGACTGTGCCCGTTTGTCACTCTGAAAAAAAAAACAAGACATAATATTTCTTAGGTTGTTTCAATGAATACTTATGTTAGAAAAATAATATATTGAAACATTAACCCGTAAAAATTCATTGCCAGTCATGACTCTCGTTTATGGGAGGTAAATGCCCAGGAATACCCTTCGTATTACACATAGGAACTAAACATCAATATGAATTAAATATACTGTGCGAAGATAGCGTAAGATGACTCAAAATCCCTTTTTGTTCCGTGGTTGTTCAGGGGTAACTATGGAAAACACCAGAAGGATCTAATGGACAATTATTTAGTTATAGTACCTGTATACGTCCCACTAATAGGGTAAAGAACTGCCTCAATGCGTTTTCGCGAACGTCACGTCTTCGAAATTTTTTTATGATTTCTCAAATATGCAGGTTTCCTCACGATGATTACCTTCACCGCGGAGGAAGTGGTAAACACTTAACAATCCAATAGGTGCTGGTTGTTTTACAGCACGCTCTTAGCCCTTTAGCTACCACGGGCTAAGCCCGTGCCGCAAAATTAACTATTGTGCAGTGACATAATTTGTATATAACTATGGTGTCTATAGATGTGTGGCGGCCGCGTAAGAGAACTCTTAACCACATTTCGCACAGTCCGATTCGTAATAGGCAAGTATAGGATGATCTAGTGGCTTTCGTTAAATGACGATCTAACTATCTCGTTACAGCGGTCAATAACTGACTCGTGGCGAATAATGCAAACCCTACGATGGAGATTTTCGAAGAATCTAATAAGTGATTTTGTCTCGACACTGGATTTGAAACTCGGATCCCATATTAGAAATCGCACTTAAATAAGAAAATAATTTAAAGTAATGATTATAAAATGATAGTTTTTTTTGTGATGGATAGGTGTAGGTCAGGTAATCTGCACTGCATTTTGATTCTAAATCGCGGATTGATGTAGACGTCTATGAGACACAGCATCACAGGAAGACTGTACACTAGACTGAGACTCTTACTTCCATTAAAATATAATGCGAGCGCCTGCTGAATTATCTACTGCAAATTTATTTTTAGAAACCATTGCTGTTTTATTGCAATAAGGTAGGACCTCCTCTTCGTGATAGATTGAATCCATAACGAGAATATCCCAGTGAAACAGTGTTCTAGAAGAAACAATATAAATAACCGACATAGACTACCTGATATTTAAGCTTACGTGGTAATGCGTCGCACTTAGTGCTCTAAGAACCGATACCCGAAGGGGACAGGCGCTAAATACTGCGATCTCATTAATTTGTCAATGCAACTACCTCAGGACCTTCCTTTATGTCAATCTTTGTTAAACGGTGCACTCGCGATAGCCTACAACGATAATATTGATCACCAGTTTATTGGGACACCAAAACCAAATATTGCCAACCAAACAACAATAGGATATAGAAGATATTTATTAGACAACTAGCTGTTCCCCGCGACTTCGTCTGCGTTTAATTTAGGGTATTATTGCGCTGAATCCTAATTCTTTTTCTGAAATAGAAGCGGCCTACGTTACTTCTTATAACATCAGTTATCTGCCAGTGAAAGTCCCGTCAAAATCGGTCCAGCCATATCCAATATTAAATAGCAAACTTAACAACGGTAACAGCTGCCACATTTCACGATAATATAGTAATATACCTAGTTATACATACATACATATACTTCTAATTAATAGGTTATACTAGAGTTAATATAGTCATTGCACGTTGTTGTTATTTATTTCAAGCATTTTGTGGATATTTTCTAACGCCACACTGTGGATTATAGTATTTTTATATGTTTAACTTATCTATTTTACTTCTATGAGCTAGAACGAAAAGAAAGAAGAAGTATATTTACTTCTTGTACACCACACTGTGGTAGAAATAGAATACACGATACATATTCTGAATTTTACATGACAACTAACTCACTGTATTTTTTTACAGGAGTGTTTAAGGGCGACACCGACAAACGAGCACACAGTCCACCTGATGGTAAATGCTTGGTGTAGCGCATAGTCATCTACATCTATCCTCGACCACAGAATAAATAATATTACTACCTCGACTAAGAATCAGAATGCAGATGCGTTGTCACCCTACGATGGAATGCCTTTTTTCCAGTAAGAAGAGTCTCCGGTTCTCCAAACTAAACATACGAAACGCAGCAGCGTTAGTTGCTATTTACGCAGGTATTCTGTGAGAGCGTGGTTCTTCCCCGGTCAAGTCGACCCATTCGTGCTACAACTATACTACTAATATAGCTGCAGCATGGGCCTACCACGTAAAAACAACAAATAAATAAACGAGTTTGAATTTGAATAGTCTGAAGATCTTTATGATTATTTCATCAGCACAACAGTTGGGATAGTTACCTGAACGTCGTAATTACTAGCGGTGACCTGGCACTGCCATTGTCCGTCATCGAGTTGGAGTGTGGCCGCGCGCACCCACAGCGAGCAGTCGCCACCCACGGCACTGTGCTCGTTCGCCCATTCATACTTGCCCCGGTATATGCCGACGGGCTGAAATACAATGAAACATTTACAAAAAATATTCGATAATTTTACTTAATAACTTAACAGTGATGGGCCTAATAGTGTACAAATTATCACCATATTTATTATTTATTAGTAGGAATAGGTAATAAAGGGATTTAAAAAAAAACCTTAAACACTAACATATTCTCCGGTATCGTGGAGGCAGTATACATACATAAATAACACAGTAACAAACGCCAAGGACGCGAAACAATTATTTGTGTGGCATATAAATATATTGTTCAGTTCGATATTTGAAGTTTGAACCCACAGCCCACAGCACCCCAATTCAAAGCCAAGCCACACGTACCGTTCACTATTTTAAATTAATGATGTATGTAAAGTAGTCAGTATTAGCTAAGTATTTAGAAATATACACGACGTATGCGCCTAAATCCTTGAATTACTAAAGACATTATTAGATAAATTATAAGCACAGAGATCATTAATACAAGTTATGTGTTTTAAGGCGCGTAAATTTTACGACCGACAAACTTTATTCTACTACTGTTATTTCATCTGTGCGGAAACTATATATTCTCAGTATTGAGTAAATACAAATCAATTTCTTAGGGACCAAACATGAATGTTACCTGAGGGAAACATAACATTATCACACAATTCTGAGTTAAGTAAGAGCCGTGGTAGCTCAGATGGTTAACGCTCGCTGTAAATATAACAGAATGCGAGTAACCCGGGTTCGATCCCCGCCGGCACCAATAAAATGTTAAATGCAATTTTAAGTGCTGATTTACCACGTGCTCGGCGGTGAAGGAAAACATCGTGAGGAAACCTGCATGTCTGAGGAATAAGAAAAAAAATATTTCGAAGACATGTGAAGTTCGCCAACACGTATTGGGGCAGCGTGGCGGACACTTCCTTGCCCTAAAACCCTCTCAGAAATGAGGGGAGGCCTGTGCCCAGCAGTGGGACATATATAGGCTGTAACTTTACTTTACTTTACTGAGTTAAGTAAGTTTTGGCTGAAAGAAAATTCGGCAAGAAATCAGTTGACATATTATATAATAAAATAAACAAGGAAGGATTTTTTTACCCCTTAAAATACAACAAGTGCAAAATTGCTCTCTTGCTGTGGAAACTACAAATAATTCCAACTTTAAAAATGTTAAATGTAAAAAAACACACACATACACACACGCACACACACAAATAAGACTAGTTTTGTTAGTAAGGATATGTTTATATTTATTTTATTTCTTTTTCTATTTGCGATAGCTGTGTACCTTATTTATCTTAATATTTAAATTGTAGTCCTTACTTATAATCTTGCCATGGTAGAGCAGTGCTTCCTAGCACAAGTAAGATTATAATATTTTAAGCTCCACGTAAAATAATATTCCGCTTAGTTACCGTAATAAACTATTTTATATTTTCTTTAAAGGATAGGGTGACAAACGAGCACACAGTCCACCTGATGGTAAGTGATTGCTGTAGCCCATAGACATCTACATCTATCCTCGATTACGAATCAAAATTCAGATGCGTTGTCACCCGTGAGGAATAAAATTGAATGCCTCTTTTCTAGTAAAAAGGGTCTCCAGTTCATTACACTCTCCATACCAAACACAGCAGCGTTAAGCTGCTATTTTACGCAGGTATTCTGTGAGAGCGTGGTCCTACCCCGGTCGAGCCGACTCATTTGTGCTACAATTACAACTATACTAAATAGAATACTAAAACCAATAATACTAAAGATTTTGTATGTGAAACAGACAATATGGTCGTAGCGCGAATGGGTTGAACTGAGAAAGAACCTAAGCAATATAATATTAATGTACGAAACACAGCAGCATAATGATGTGCTTGGCATGTAATGCTGTATTTTGCATTCGTATGCAGATTGTAGAAAACCGGAGACCTTTCTTTCTATTGGAAACGAAGCATTCCATTTTAGTCCTCAAGGTTGACAACGCATCTGCTTTTTTATAGATGATAGATTTAGATGTCTATGGACCATATTATCCTCTTAACTTCAGGTGCATTGCGTGCCTGTTTGTCACTTTTATTCCATAAAATAGGTCCCTGAATTATTTTGTAAGATTGGTGTACATTTAAAAGTTGCAACACAAGAACTGACAATTCTTTTGTCAAATTAGTATTAAGTTATCAAATATACAAAAAGAAAAACAATTTGGAAGCTGTTATTTAGAAAATAACGAACAGATATTTATTTATTTATATGTAGTAGATTTATACTTCTATAACAAAATTAGGCAATCCATCTCTATGTTTTTTTATGGTAAGGGTAACAAACGCAAAAGCGAATACGATAGAGAAAGAGAACGAAATAGAATTAAGACAAAACCTTGCGAAAGAAAACCTATTCCTATTCACGGCGACATTCATTAAGAGGCTACTGAAATGAAAAAAATATACTGATATCAATAGAGATAATTACAGGTTGCTATCACCTGCTTACGTATCTGGTAATTACTAATATTAAATTTAAACACAAGCTCAGCTCTGAAAGATTTCAGGATACAGCAGTAAGCTCATTTTGCGTAGATCGGACGACAATTAAGAATTAAAAGCTTAAGGTAATCTGGGTTTATTAGAACTTCAGATTAGGACGTCAAATTTTTCAGCCTCCAGTGACGTGACGGATACGCGAAGAAGACAAAAGATAAACCATCACGTAACGTCTTATTAAGACTATGAAACCACTACTAAGGACCCATATGAGAACCGAGAGAAAAACCCCCGTCAGTCAAACAGCAGGGAGTACAGCTGAAAGCGGTCTTAAGTAATACGTTATTAAAACTTGTAGTGCCATTCACGAGACCAAATCCTTAATGATCCAGTTCTTTGTCATGCTGCAATGAATACGCGTCGTAAATGGTAGCTGCGCGCCGGAATTCTAATAAGTATTCAAGTATAAAGACATTTCAATACAACAGTGACTTGAATAGACTCAATAGACAATGCAAATTGAAAGAAACAGGAAGCTAGCTCAGGGCATGTGAACGAAGGGTTTGTTTCAACACGCGTGTAGAATAAAACACCGTTTAAGAGTAGTGTATTATTTAGAGTTATTTGTGAATATATGCATGTTGATTAGAAACGATAACCCGTCAGTTAAAAATATATTAATACTTGAAGGTAAAAGTTTGTACCCCCACCCCCTTTAAGCATATTTCAAAAGGATTGTGAGATTTGAGATGGTTAAAGTTTATATGGAGAAGAAACAATTCATTGTTTATGTTAATACTGCGAATGTCAATTTTCAAACATAGTCAAGTTTATGTTAAATCAGTCGCACAGAGTAAAGATTGTCGCCAAAGAATTTAAAAATGTTACCAGCAAAATATTTACTGATTTCTAACGCTCCTTTTTATATTATAGTCGGTGGAGTGTATGTCGAGGCAAAACAGCGTTTATTTTATATTTATTTATTATACATCTGTTAATATGAAATTATACAGAGAGTTACTTACTTACTTACTTATCTTCACGCACAATCCCTAACGGGGTAGCCAGAGAGAACAGATCGCCAAGTGTCACGATCCTTACATACCTCTTTCGCTTCTTTCAGGTTCATTAACTTCTTCATACATGCACGTCTAGGTATCCGAGTACTCTTGACCCTCCCCTCTTCGAGCAATTTGCTCACATGGTCTTCGAAAGTTAGTCTCGGTCTACCTCGACACCTTTTAATATTTACTTTCGCTCTATATATTTTCTTCACCATTCGGTTTTCACTCATTCGTTCAACGTGCCCAAACCATTGGAGTACGCCCCTATCAATTTTTGTGATAAGGTCATCTTTCAATCCTGCCATATTGCGAATCTCTTCGTTTCGCTTTCGGTCGGCTAAGGTAACGCCACACATTTTACGAAGAGATCGCATCTCCACTGCATTCAACTTGCTTTTATGCTTCTTCTGGCATACAGAGAGTTGAAAGTGAAATATAGCTTGCCTAATACACAAACTTCAGAATTTAATGAATTACGCTCGAATTTCGACTATTGGACGACTACTAGTTGAAATTATTAGCTGTATAAAGCCGTAATACGAGAGCTTAGTCGCTAGGCGCTCGGCGAACGATTCGAGCCGATATTCGTCGGCAATAATGAAAATGTTAATCCTAATTAAAACTACTTTTACGGATTTTATCGCGTTTATTTTTACTTTTTATTTACTTTTATTTTTAATTCCCGACGTTTCGGGCGCTTTCCAGCACCCATGGTCACGGGGGACTGAGATGACTGACGTCCCGATGTCATTGTTAAACCTGGAGTACCTTCAGCTTTTTTAATTATTGTTTATGGTCCGATCCATGTAAAATGAACTGACTATGTCCTGAGGTCTTGCAGTGGTATGCTTCGGTTTAGTTTTAATTTTATTGATTATAGGATCCCAAGCGGTAGTACCCAGCCTCCTTCTCTATTGAAATTAGGATGTTTTTTTAATTTCAATAGCCTCACGTATCATCCTTGGTAGGAATCGGTGTTCTTTCGCGAGGATTTGTGGTCTATCAAATCTGATGTAATGGTTGGGTACGTCTAGAATATGATCACAAACTGCAGACTTCCCGAAACGTTGATGCTTCACATCAGCTATATGTTCTTTTACGCGGGTCCTAATTGATCTTTTTGTTTGTCCTATATAAGAGAGACCACATTCATAATCAAGCTTCTACACTCCTGCATCTTGTAGAGGAATATGACACTTGACGGATGGTAGGAACTGACTAATCTTCTTCGGCGGCTTGTAGAATGTTCTAATAGAAGCTCGCTTCAAGATATAGCCAATCTTGTCTGTGACACCTCTGACATATGGTAGTACATATAAATGTATAGTGTTCGCGTAAATATAAGAAATCATAATGTTAATCCTAATTGTAAATCCATACTGAAACCTGAATGTCTAGGAAATTTAGAATATTTCGTAGACACATTAAATTTGTCGACATATCACCACCACATATCATGCGGTGGGTGTCATGAGAGGCGACAGACGGATT